ATATAACATACTTTTATGTATGGTGTAGAATATGTGATGCTACAGGGTTGTTTTCCCATCTAAAAACAGAAGGAACCCTGTTAGAGTGCATAGCATCCTGAACTCTTTGAAACACAAAAAGATTTTAAATGAAGATCCTGCAGCACCTGCCAAACATCTGAAATGTGTAATAACCTGGTAGATAATGTTTCAAATTATATCAGTCAAATAAGCACAGAACGATTCACCAGGCACAAAGTCATCCTTCCACTATAATCATATCTCTACTGTCTACCCCAATCCTGCAGAAAAGCTGTGGGGTCAAGCTTGGTCAAAGACCTCTTTATGGATGCTTCATCCAATCATCCATCAAGCGTCTATATCCAGTTTTCCTTGCAGCGTCGGAGGGGGCTTTTTGTATTTCAGCCATTATGCAGTGAGAGCAGGGTTCTGGAATGGTCCAAGTCAACCTCAGTGTAACACAAAGAGACGAAAAGTCACTCAACCAGTAACGCACACAATCATACCTGAGTAACCAATCTACAGGGAGAACATTGTCTCCAGGCAGAAAGACCCTGGGTCAAGATTCAAGGCAAGAATACTACTAACCACAACCCCTTATAACCTGTGCATTTTGCACCATTGTCAAATGTTATAAAAATAGAATAACTCTCGCTCTACAGGGGAGAGAAGGTGGTACAGGTGTCAGCAGAGTTTTCAGTAACTGGGGTACTGATGATTCATAGATATATCGTAGTGGATTTTTTTCTGCTAAAAACTTTCTTTAAAAAAAAAGGTAAGATTTGTTTGTATGTTATATGCAGGACTTTTAAAGATTCAATAAAAGAAACTCGGACAAAGACCTGTTTTAAAACTCACTGTGTTATTATGAGGTAGAAGGTCAAAAGGCCATTTGCTTTAACAGCCCATCCTGCTTCAAGATTAACTGATGTGCTTTATGATAGCTTTGCTAACTAGCTGTAGCTTTGCACAATTTGTGACTCAAATATTTTCCCTGGTTCTCTTTGACAAGCACCTCAAGCTTAGTTGGAGAACACATTCTCAATGTTAGTCTGAACTTTAACGTCAAGTAGCTTTGTTCTAAACTCTTTCACTGGATCTTATTCATTTTCTGTTGGAAGGTAAGCCTTTGGTCCAGTCTCAAGTCTTTTGCTGTCTCTAAAAAGTTATCTTCATTTTTCTGTTAATTAACATGGAATATATCTCAATAAATTCTGAACTGACTCCTTTTTTCCTATAAAAGATGTACCCACAACATAATTCTGCTTTTAATTCATTTAACTCTTAGAATTGATTGGACAGACTTTGCATCCATTCATAAAGAAGGTTTTGGGTTTATAACTGAAAAGTTCAATTTTATTGTCATCTGAGCAGATTTACATCCTCCCAAGTTTTTGCAATATCTACTTCTATCAACTCTTCTGGAAAGGTATTTTTTGACCAACACATCAATATTAAAAATTACCCATTAGTTCTAGGGATCTCTATAGCTGCCATTCTATTTATGCTGTCAGTTTGGGCTGCTGTTTAAACTTACCCTATTTTAGACTCTTCATAATTCTTGACAAGTCTGCCATGATACTTATGTTAGTTCATTAATGTTCTAACAAACCCCTGAGGTACAGAATTTATAAAGCAAATAGATTAAACAAGTGTGTTCTTGTATTTAATATATTGTGGAGCCCATTTTCGGTAAAAATAGCACGTTGTGGGCAGTGTTGTTTTCATCAACGATGACTAATTATATGGTTGATGCTCCTTTGTTGTTGTCTGTCTGCTATATTAAACAATATGATGTGTTGAGCTAGATCTGCTATTTTCACAACTTTTATGACACACTTGTATAAAGAAGGGCATAAAAAAGTTTATTCGAAAAATATAAATCAGTTTTCTTCCCAACAGCAATGTAGTACATAATTGTAGTATCTAGGGCAAAAGCTGTCAGTCTGCTAAAGAATCTGTTTGTTGCTTGAAATTGTAGTGTAGAAAGCCCATATTCTTATCTTCAGGTAACACAGAATACATGTCAGGTTAGATAATACTACTTATAATTCAGTTATAGCATCTAGGTGTTACTTTATTGTATGTCTCCTACCACGTCCGTTGGTTGTGCTGTTCTTTTTACATCTCTTTGCAGGTGATGAAGCAGACTGAAAATGTTTAATCGTTATCTCCCTTTTATCTCCTCTTTCTTTCATCTTTTCTCCTTTTTTTCTGTTTTTCCTTTCCTGTTCTACTTACATTTCAGTGTCTATATAATCTGTAAAACTCCTTGCATAATTATAATAAAGCTATCTATATGTATAAATCAAGCTGAACTCTATGGCGATAGCCGTACTGCTCCACTTGTGAAAGTAAAACCTGTTGGGCTCTTTATGGCATCAAGACTATTCTTATTGCCACATTGCCAGACAGGACAATGTTAACTTTTTTTTGCAACATAAAACTGACTTAAACTAGACTAAAACCTTTTTAAGTTTTAGTCGACTAAAACCGACTAAAACTATAACCTATCATAATGACTAAAATGGCACTAAGACTAATTATAGTTTTGGTCCTGAAGACTAAGACTAAATCTAAGATGGCCTTCAAAAACAACACTGGTTATGGGGACCGATTGCTCCTTGTGGGGCCCGCTGCCTGGACCCCATGAGAGGAACTCTTGTTTTAGGGTCAGATGTCACATTAAGGACTAAGGTGAGAATTGAGTTCAGGTTGGGATTAGGGTTGGGTATTAATCTGTATTGGTTCGGTTTAGAGTAAGTATCATGGTTCAGTGTATTCTCATTATGAGTTCGTATGAAATCGTACGAAAAGTTATGCAACGCAATTTCATACGTTTTGGACGTTTTTTTCGTCGTATGTGCATGTGCATTTTACGCACCATTCAAGAACATAGAATTTAAAATACAATTAGCCCTAACCCTGACCCTAACCCTAAGATATAAAACAGCAAGCAACGTAGTTAGAGACATGAAGAAGTGATTATTGCACTGTTTTTTCCAGTTTTACGTCCGTCCGCGGATCTGCTTTTTTTGTCTGTCTGCCTGTGCATGCGCACTGATCTGGTTTTTTGAGGAAAAACGTCCAAAACGTACGAAAAAGTGTGCATAACTTTTCGTACGATTTCATACGAACTGATAATGAGAATATATTGCATGGTTGGGCTATAGAAATGGGTTAGAAATGAATGAAGGTTAATGGAAAGGCCCTGCATATTATGTCTTGTTTGTGTGTGTGTGGTATTGTTTTACTAACAATGTGGGGACAGTGTTTTATAAAATATCCTACATTGTGAGGACCTACAACTATACATGGGAACATTTAGCTGCTCCACAGTTCTCTTCTTTGGGTTGCGTTAAGGTTTAGGACTAAGGCGTGAATTCAGTTTAGGTTAGGGTTATGTATATGTTAGTAATTGTTAGGCTTAGGGTCTGGGCTAGGTCACATAAAACGAATTAAAGTCAATTAAGTTTTCCAATTAGACTTACAAAAATGACTCATTGGATTAACTCAGTTTAAGTGATAGCAGTTTATCTATCCAATACAGTTTTGCCAGCTGAACCAGCTGGTGTAATTTTATAGAGTCTGTTCTACACAATTTTTCTTAAAGGGATAGTTCGGTATTTTTGACATGAATCTGTATGGCATCCCCATCACCAGTGGCATGCAATCACACTGACTTACCCATGGAAGCATCCTGTGAGCAGAGTTATCGTCCAGTTTTGGTCAAGCCGAAAGTAGTCCGGCAGGTTT